GGTACTCAGGGGCGGAACAAGAACCGAAACCGACCATCAAGCAGGCACGGGTGTTTGGAAGGATTATTCGAGGTAGACTCTGGCCATGGCCGTGTCGAGGAGAGAGGAAGACATCAAAAGTTGGGGCATGCAACATTAAAAGAAGTAAAGTTTAGACATGGTGCAGGTGGGGGTTTGGAGGACGAGCCAACGACTGGTTGGAAGCAGACAGACACAGAAATATGCACAACAGAATTAGCATGCGCGGAACCGCAGAAGCACACGCCCCTCCTTCGTCCTGGGCGGTTCATTGCACACCGATCAAATCTGGCATAATGGCCCATGGCCATCGGCACTTGGGTACCTACCAGGTAGGTAGACATCCGTCAGCGTCAGGCCTTGCCAATACGTAGAAAAGTGTTGGTGCGGTCATGCGAAAGGCTTGCACCGTCGACCCAAAAGAGCTTCGAAATACTTTATAGTAGCCATCATAGCTTCGTTGTTCATTTGGTCAACGGAGAGGGCGTCTGTAATGCTCTGCGCATCTCGGCCGATTCCTTCCATCAACGATGCAGTTTGGGAAGGCGCAGTGGAGCTCGGGTTTGCCTTGCCCCGTCTTGTACGGAATATTAGGTACCGATGCGAGCGTAAATGTGCAGAGATGGAGGCACTGGGGCATCTGGAACGCTCAAGGCACCAGACGAATACCGACGGGCATGGCAGCCTCCACGGCCTCATTTGTGCTGGTTCCATCAATCTTCCCCAACGTCCCCTCATGACCTCATCTCCCATTCTGTTCCAATGCTACGAGGCCCAAGTTACAGTGGCTGCATACAGCCAGGATGCGGACAGAACACGCACAAATGAGTGGTTCTGTCGGGCGTCACGCGGCATTTTGCCTCTGCTTTTCGCAGCCGTGACGCTCTTGCCTGTCTGGTCGACTTTGGGGTCAGCGCCACTGCCGCACGCCCCTCCGCATTGTTCTGCCCCACCGCAAGACCCCTGGATGTCGTAGCCCGCACCTCCACCCCCTCTCGTTCCATCGCCGGCATCGATTGATCCGCCCACATGCGTGCGCACTTGCATTGCAGTGACTTGTGTCACCCTCTCCTTCTGCTCCCTTCCCCTTCCGCAATCCATCAAGTCCATATGCATGCTCAGCCTTCCTTGTGTCTTGCTTGCCAGAGTCAGAATACAATCGAACGGACCGCGACGCGTGCACCAAAATAAGCCTCGACTAGCCGGCCAATTTGCGCATACCGAGTGCGACTGCACAGCTCGCCTTGCCGCCCAAACCGCCGTCCCCGACTACGCTGTGTGTGTCTCGCCCTGCCCGCTTGTTTGATTAGCTTGTTTTCTGTTGGTCTTGCCTTTGTGTTTTCTGGTCGGGTGCTAACCCAGTAGAACGGACACAGCCTTCAAGCCTCATCCTTCGGACTCTGCCAAGTTCAACTTTGCTGCCGATTGAGCCATTGGGTGGATGTGTTTGCTGTGCGGCCTCGACCTTGCATTCCCCATCGTTCGACTAGAGCTTCTGCTTTTCTGAATGCCGTTTCTGCTATCGGTGAGGGCTGTGTTCGATTGCACTGCGTCTTAAATTTCGTGGACGCGGCCGGCCGCCACCACGCGCATTTACCTATTGCATTCCGCATTTTGCACGCACGCGGAAGCGCACACACCTGCACATACACACCCCCTGCCTTTGTCTATGACCTGTCTTTCCTGCATTTACTGTCGTATTTACTCTTTCCCAATTAGAAAGTCCCGCCAGACATGTTTCTGCCCAGTATAAATACCACGGGGGAGGACCTCTACGAGGTGGTGGTTGAGACACCCTGGTTGTCAACAATCTACTCCCCCGGCCTTCAACAAAGCTTGACGAGGATTCCTGGTGTCATGAAGTTCGTCAAATTGGCCTCGGCGGCTGTTTTTGCTGTCATTGGTGGACAGGTAGGAGCCGATTCTTCTTTTACTCCTGCCAGACCTCCGGCTGTTCCTCTGGCCGTGCGTAATCCATATCTGAATGTCTGGCTCAACGGGCAAGAAAACGGCCCTCACGCTATCCTCCCGGGGCAATGGCCCAAATTTTGGGCGTAAGTTCTGCCCCCCTTTCCCCCAACGGTCATCTCAAATCGCACAAGTCTTAGCACCAAGATCACGGGAGAGATGCAGTAGCTAATTCTCCCATTCTCTGCCGCGTACAGAACCGGGATCCAAGGATGGCAAGGCTTTGTCAAGGTCGACGGTGAAGTATATAACTGGATGGGTGGCGCTCCTGGAGCTCCGAATGTCGACCAGTTGAGCTTAGAGTATACGTCAACTCGTAGCATCTTCAACATGTCGGTTGCTGACAAGGTTGACATGCGAGTGGAATTTCTATCGCCCGTCTACCCAGACGACTTGAGGCGCCAATCTGTCCCCTTTTCATACATCAACGTTGCTGTTAAATCTCGCGACGGCAAGTCGCACAGAGTGCAAGTCTATTCCGACGTGTCGGGAGGTCAGTCAGAGCCCCTTGGCACCCTTGACACCCGTGGCTGTGAGCTTTCTGCTGACATACGTCTTCACAGAATGGGCATCGGGCGACACTGGAGCAGTGGTTGAGTGGGATACTTCATCCAATTCTGGCGTGCGTAGCCACAGGTTCTGGAAACAGAAAGAGACCGTCTTCCAGGAGGATGGAGAAAATGCAGCTTGGGGCACTTGGTACTGGTCCACTGGTGACCAGAGTGGTGTAAGCTACAAGATTGGTGCTGACGTGGATGTACGCGGGCAATTCCTTCAAGAGGGGTCGCTGGACAACCGGGTTGACAACCGGTTCCGCGCCGTCAATGACAGGTGGTGAGTCAAAACTCTATTGCATCTTGACATCTCTGGAAACACTGCTGACCGGGGACCAAAGGCCCGTCTTTGCCCTTTCCCGTGATCTAGGCACTGTCAAGGGCGGATGGGCCGAGACTGTCTTTACCATCGGGGTGGCCCAACGGGACAGTATTCAGTGGGTTGGGGAGGCTGCAGAGCCGCAGAGCGTGCCATCTCTATGGGCTTCATATTTTCAGGAGAATGACCTAGTCCCATTTTTCTACCACGACTACGACAATGCCACGCATGCTGCCAATCGATTGGATCTTCGCATCCAGAGAGACTCTGTTGCTGCTGCTGGCCAGGACTATGCAACAATCACCACTCTATCTCTTCGACAAACCTTTGGTGCCCTCGCATACACAGGCACCCCAGACAATCCTTTAATTTTCCTCAAAGAAATTTCGTCAAATAGTGACATTCAAACTGTTGACGTCATCTTCCCTGCGTTCCCCATCCTCTTGTACTTGAACCCGAACCTGCTCAAGTATCTTCTCGAGCCTCTTTTGCTCAATGACCGATACCACTATCCGAATGACTTTGCACAGCACGACTTGGGGCGCTTTCCCAGGGCCCTTGGCTACGCTGATGGGAACGATGAACACATGCCCCTGGAGGAGTGTGGCAACATGATTATCATGATGCTTGCCTATTCTCAGCTGACGCATGACGACGAATATCTTTCGGCCAATTGGGATTTGCTCGTCAAATGGGCTCAGTACATGATAAACGACGCCAAGATCCCTGCGAGCCAGCTCTCTACCGATGACTTTGCTGGCCACCTTGCGTAAGTCTAGCCCAGAGCCACGTGAAGACGAGTCCCAAGTTAACCATGTATGACCATAGTAACCAGACCAATCTGGCCATCAAAGGCATCATTGCCCTCCAAGCCATGTCCGAAGTCGCCACCCGGGCCGGGTACGAAGACGAGAGTAGCAACTACTCTACTCTAGCCAAGGAATACCTTGAATTCTGGACTGAGCATGGCGTCAATGCCGAGGCCGGGCATAGCATGCTGCAGTATGACAACAAAGACTCCTACGGTACGCGCACTGCACGCTCATCAATAGTCACTAGGGCGAGCTAACACATAGGGTGCCAGGTCTCCTCTACAATATCTACCCAGACAAGCTTTTAGGTCTCGACTTTATTCCCCAGGAAATCTACGACATGCAAAGCGACTTTTACCTAAAGACGCAAAAGGAGTATGGCGTTATTCTCGACACGCGCAACGTCTGGACCAAGGTGGATTGGGAGCTGTTCGCAGCCGCTGTAGCCAAGCCCGACACGCAGAATATGTTCATCTCCAAGATTGCCAGATGGATCAACGAGACGCCCACTTGGCGTGCCTTTACAGACCTTTACGACGTGAATACTGGTGGCTATCCTGGGGGTCTTCAATTCACGGCGAGACCTGTGGTGGGCGGCACGTTCTCGTTGCTTGCGCTGCGGAAATAGACGCAGCACAAATAGAGTCACGATTCGGCGGCTAGGATTATAGTTGTTTTTGTTTTGGATACAGCCCCTTTTCAAGCGTATCATGCCCTTATTTCCGCTCACAAACAGTCTCGATTGCATCCCGTAGTTCAGTATTGCTACAAGGCAGCCTTTTTTTTTCAGGGGCTCTGAATACACATGCAAGTATAAAAGGGGACCTTGATGATCAACATGATGAATCAATTCAATTAAACATGATCAAATTTCTCTACTATTTCCAGCAGCTTGCCGACTCATTGAATGGCACAAATAAAACATCGAGTCCCACACAGATTCAAAAGCTCACGCGTAATACGACACAACGGGCAAACACGTCTTGGTGTTACAATGTCATATCAGCAAGGTGTACTAGTGGATTCCGAGACTCAAGGCCGCCACTGCGAGCAGTTTGCCACGGCGTTCTAAATTACAGGCCGGCAATGACTACCGAGCGAGTGAGCGTCTTGCCATCTGACATCATTTCACGGGTGACGAATATGTACACTGGACAGGACTAATCAGCACAACGTGGTCAAAAGTATATGAAAGCTTTGATGAATTCAGTGTTCCCTAATGCTACTCTGCTCTAGAGTACTTGTTTTCCTTTCCACGCCGAGGCTCCCTATGCCGCTGCAAGACCGACTTGCCCCGACTCGACTCTGCCGTCAACGCCGTACAATCCCCTACTCCACGTCGTCGCACTTGCCCGTCTCAAAAATCTCCTGCGACTGGGTGAGAATATTCTCAATCTTGGCGGCGTGGCGCTTGGCAATGTTCCTGGCCATGCTGTGGCTGATCTTGTTGCAGATGGACTGGGTGAGGGCGCGGCCGGCGGTGCACAGGGCGCCAATCTTCTCGCGCGCCAGGCCGCACTTCTTGGCCTTCTTGACGGCGTCGACCTTTTCCTTGACGGCTTCGAGGAGCTTCTTGGCCGACTTGTCCATTTCCTGGACGGGCTTGAGGAGTTCCAGGGCGCCGGAGAGGCCGATGGGGTCCGAGTTGTCGACGATGGACTGGCAGGTCTGGATGTTGGCGGTGACGGCGTCGGTGGCGTTGACGACGGGCTGGATGGTGCCTTCGAAGGCCTTGGTCTCGGTGTCGAGCTTGGTGATGGTGCTGGTGACGTCGTTGAGGCACTTGGCGAGGTCGTGGGGGCGTTCGCGGGGGAGGATGACCGCGTGGGTGCCCGAGAGGGCGAGGAGGGCGAGGGCGGCGAACTTCATGGTTGCTTTTTGGTGGTGGTGGGTGGTTTTTGTGTGTGCGTGGTGGGAAGGGAGGTGGGATTTGGGGATGGTGTTGTTGGAGTTGACCTTTTGTTGGCAGCGGCAGGGGCGTCCTGGGGGCTTTATATAATGGCCTGCTTGGGGGGGATCTGGAGCTTGCTAGCAAACATTGTTGGAGGGCTAACTCGGTCGTTTGCGTCACCTTGCGAGGATGAGTGTGTCGGCTTGGTGGTGCTGGCGGAGCTAGGATCGAGCGAGTGGTGATATCTGCGCCGAGTCGTGGAAAGGGGTTTGGGGCGCATGGGGCAAAAACGGCGTCGGGCGCAGCAGCTCATTCCGGATGGGGGACTTGGCTCAAAATCAAGACTATATTCGTGCTTAGTTGCGTAATCTTGTCGGTTTAGCTTATCCTTAGGTCCGGCATCATGCGGTCACTCTGTTGTCCGGCGGAAGTCGTGAACATTGAAGTCTTCAGGCACGGGTCATGAGGCGGCATTGAGTTTTGCCCAGCAAGTCGCTTGAGCAAGCTGGGCCTAGCGCAAGGCGCGCGACGTAAAACGCGAGTTTGGTCTGGTCGAATTTGTCTTGCCGCGCGTGGCATCATGCCATCATCATCCGAGCATCAGATTGCCCAGAGCGGCAAGAGGCTCGGCCATACGCATCATCCATTTTGGGAACTGGCGACGTGTTTTCTTGCGGTATCGACCGTGCATTACAGGTCCAGTAGCCTCGGGCCATTTTTAGACACTTATACTGTTCATGTCCTCCTGGGTCCGGCGTCGCGGTCATATGATGATTATGCACGAGGGACTGCTCGTGGACGTCACGGTCTGGCTGTCCAATCTGGGGACCCGGCACTGTTGACAATATTGCAATTTGGAGGGCTTTTGCGTCCTTGTGCCACTTCTTCATTTGACGGTATCAGCCCATATCGAGCACACGGAGCTGTCGGGCCCTTTTCATCTCTTCTCTTGACCAAATACCCCCGATATCCCTTTTGGTTCTGACGTGGTCCTGTGACGGCACAAAGTGTGGGCAGCCTCACGCTCACCCGGGCAATACGCCTAGGACTACCCTAGATACTTCATGTACAGTTGGACTTGAGGAGAGAGGTGTGAAGGCGGACTGGCTGAATGGATCAGATCGAATACTGTCGTTGTGAGTGGAAGAAGAGCGATAACAGACTGCGGTTGGGCTCTTTGCGTTATTGTCATGTCTCCACGGCCACTTTCGGCGGCGTGTACAGCAAAGTGATATTCCTTGCTAGGATGACTACTCCGTGCTGGTTCAATATGGGTAATGTTACTGATACTACCTGTTCAGTCAAGGTCAACTGCAGTAGCTGCTGGCACCAGTCATGCTGCCTGACACAACCTTGGGAACAAGCCTCCAATGCTGCTTCCCGACATTCGCACCAATATCCCAGGAGCTTAAAACGGAACATGGTCACCATGAGTCTACTCGGTTACACCCTCATGGCGGTATCGAGGTGATCTGTATGTGGGAACCACATCACTAAACGTATTAAACTAATAAGTTGGCAGTAGTCCAGTATCCAGAGATTAGCATCTTTGACTAGCTCAAACTATATCAGTCGCCTTGGCCCGATGGGCACCATCTAACGGGCTAACTTACCCAGTCTAAAAGAAAGGTTATAGGCTGTAGGTATTATGCCAGGCCAACAGGCTGTTCACTCTTGGTAAAACCACACATCCGTTGGTGCCCTATGAGAGGACCGGAATGCCGGCCTACTCCATGTCTTGCTGAATAGCCGGGGGCAAAATGGCAACAATAGAGCCGTAAAGCCTAGTGAGGTCATATTAACCCCTTCGTTCCCGTCAGCTAGCGACGCAGGCAAAAGGAATTGGCGAGTCAGGTACCGCACGGGTAGCAACCGCATGCACACAGCCCAATTCAGCATATAAAGAGGTAGATGACCGTAGGAGTTTTCAAGCCCAAGTACCCTGAAACCAGCGAGGAGTGCAAGCACGGAAGTATTGGTAACGTCGCGCAGTACGTCTTTATCGACGATGGCCACGTCGCTTGGTGTACGTAGAAGTAGACTCGGATAGACGCATTACGTGTGACGATATGTACTTATCTGACCGTCTCTTTTCGAATACGTGATTTTGAAATTTTCGTGCCATTTAGTGCCAAAATCAATTTAAAGACTTGGCTAACCTGGCCGTGTTGTGTTTTCTGAAAGCTACCAAACACAACCAAAATCCGTAGCGGACCGAGGTTAAGCCTGCCACTACTTGTTGTAAACATTCATGGAAAGGTGGCGATGGTGGTGGCTACTTTCTAATCACATTAGGTTGATGCGATCTCTTGACTATTTGAAATGTACTTAGAAATACTTGACATATTTCCATGTATTACCATCTCCTGCAATTTTACTATCGTCGTCAACGGACAAGCACATGTAGAGAATCTCTCGTAACTGTACTTTAGTTTTAAAGCTCAAGTTAAACTAACAAGCAACAGCTAACTATAGAGGGCTAGAAGCCAAGGCAGAGAAACTCAATAGGCTACATTCTAGTTAGACTTGCTTCCAATTAACCGTGCAATTTGAACTGCAATATCAGCCAGTCCTCCGTATCTGTTCCATTCTAGCTTCCCTCACAATAAATTTCAATCTCCAAAGCCGTAGACAAGACTCAACCCCACGCTCCACCCGTTACAAGCCAAACGGCCAAGTCTCATCGTATTCCAAAGGCTCCTCCGGCTGCTGAGTTTCAATCCCCCTCACTGGGGACGAGCTATCGAACCACAAGAAGCCATCAAACTGTTCCGGAAGAATCGCCGAAGAATAGTGAGATTGCCTTTCCGTCCTCGGCTTGTATATGACGCCAATAAACCGCTCCAGCCGCGGCTTCATCAATTCCCTCCGCAGGGCCCCGTCGCATTTTCCACGCCTGAGGTCCAGAGCAAAGCTGTCAATGCCCGTGGCATGCATCAGCTCCTCATAGCTACCGGGCAATGCTGGCTGTACCTTGACAACCCGCATGTCGCCGCCCCAGGTACTCGCTGCTGCAACGCTTCCAGTGTACGTGCCACAACCTATACTCAGGCAGGATTGGCCGTACGTCTCCTTGCAAAGTTGGCCAATGTTGATTTCACGCCGAGAAGCGCCCATGCTGGTCGCCCGGGCGTCGCCAACATGGCTGTTATGTGCCCACACAATGGCTTTTGACTTGACGCCTCGGTGCTTGAGGATTCGGCCCAGTGTGTTGGCCATGTGCGTGTCTCGCAGGTTCCAGGACTCGTTTAGCCCGTAATACATTGTCTTGTAGTAGCGCTCTGCGTCTGTATCGACTCGTCAGTCATGGCTGTGTGGCAAACACGCTCCCCGTCTTTTGTCTCGACTCACCCGCCGCCACTCTTGCATTCTGCTCTGCGCTGTGAAACTCGTCCCCATCCCAGTGGACCGAGGAGTATTGGACGCGCTTCTTGAGCAGGTCCTTCAGCATGGAGATGACTTCTTTTTCGTGGCCTTGGAATCCTGTCGCGAGGGCTGCGAGGCCGTAGTCGTGAGGGTCGTCCGCCCACACCATGAGCTGCTCGTACCTGTGCCTTGCTAGTTTGGCCATGTCGGCGTCTACTTTGTCGAGATAGTCGATGACGGCTTGCATGGAGCTGCGGAGAGAATACAAGTCCAGTCCGTAGAAGCCAACGGATTCGTGTACAGATTTGCCCTGGCTCGTGTTGTATTTCCGGAGCCACTCTACAAATTCTTGTACTTCCGAGTTTCGCCACATCCACGTTGGGAAGCGCATGAATGGTGCCTCGCGTGCGTCTTTTGTTTTGCCAACGGCCGTGAGACTGACGCCTTCATCGGGGGGGATTCGCCGCCGGACATATCTATCCACAACTTCTGCGTCTGGCCAGTCGCCTTCGATGGCGATGATGTTGAACCCGTGGTGTTCAATCATGTACTTGGACAACTCGGCTCGCGCCGTGTAGAACTCAGACGTCCCATGCGAAGCGTCCCCCAGCAGTAGTACCTTGCATTTTCCAAAGTCATCGAATGCCTTGTTATAGGTTGCGCTGCCTGACGCAGAGTCGAACGATGTAGCATTGGCCGCTAGGAGACCACATGGTGAGTTTGGGTCTTTCGTAGCTTCTTTGCCAATTGAAGTCATTGTTGTAGAGACTCCCCTCAACGCCTCATTCAAGTTGAATTTTCAGTACTTGTTCAGTGTGCCATTCCACCAATGTTAGCGTTCAAGTTGAAATTTTGGAGCATTGAGACACTTACACGCAGGGGCCAGAGTATGACAACTTGTTCGCTATGTTACTGGCTTCGCCTCATCTCTGCGTAACCCGCTGGTGGTCACACCTAGTCCTTTATTGAATCATTCCGCCCGTCACGTATTATACTTCAGAGCCGGGTGAAAATTCTGCCGCAGAAGTGTATGCGGAAAACTCAACACCCTCAAATGAGTACGTACTGTGGAATTGGTGGGAAGACATGACGTGACATGTCCGTCATCCAACGCCAGGTCTATTTTGTGGCCCCCAGTGCCATCTTACACGCTTCACACAATCACTATGGCCCCGCGTCTCCCTATTGGCTGGTTTTTCAGCCTTGGTCGTAACTTGCCGCGAATGCCAAGCGCCGTTGTCCGGACGGCCGGTTACAACCACATCAACGGAGCCTTTAGCATTCTCCCAGATATCGCGACGAACAAGCAAGAATTCTGGAGTCGGCCATAATATCCTTCCTTATCCGAGTTCGAATGAATATTGACGCGAGAAGAGGGTAGACGATATTGGACGGACTTGTATAAACCTCCTATAAACCTCCGTTCTAATTCCCACGCTGGAGAGTCCGCCAATGGGGTCCTTTAAAAGAACAGTGCGACAGGACGTATAATATGTCCGACACTATAAGATGTATTATCTCTTCTGGGAACCCTACTTGGCTGGTGTTCAAAGCCTGGCAATCACTCGCTCGATAGGCTTAGGGTTGAGACATCGTTAAAAACACTGGGCCA